GAGCACAGACTGAAACCAGACTGCCTGGGTTTGAACCTCAACTCCTCTTGTTACCATGGCCATATGACCGTGGACAAATACCTTAAAGGCACTGGGCCTCAGTTCCCTAATCTGAAACAGTGTCTCATAGGGTTGCTGTGAGCATGCAATTAAATGAACTAATATTTATAAACTCCTTACAATAGTGTTAGAAGTGCTAGATAAATTCAGTGAAATGACCCTGATTAGACCAGAGTTTCCTCTGGATCCAGGGCTGTATTCCATTAAACGCTGTAACACCCAGGCCTTGGGGCCCTAGGTTTGAGTAAATGGGGGTTGTTTGTCCTCAGTTAAAATTGCAAAGCACATCCTGAGGTCACAACCTTTTTATTCTATTGAACCAAAAAGGCAATGGCAGTGAAGCTTGACTTTGAACACCCAAGTCTATCAAGCCTCTTTCCAGCTCACTGAATGTGTCTGCCATCTCTTTATGCTGATGGAAGGAAGAGTAGTGACTCTGGTAAATCTATTGAGTGGCCTCAAGCAGGTAGCCTGCTCTGTCCGGGTCACCTTTGGAAACCTTCTCGGATTCCATTGCATTCCCTGGACCCACTGTAACTCACTGGGTTCCTGTTGCTCACAAGCTCAGAGCGTTCACTTAGGTCCCTGGTGAGGGGGTTTCCGCCTGGTGGCTCTGCTTGCGGCAGTGCTGGGCTGTGGGAGAGACTAATGGGAAGTGAAAAGAGAAACTGTTGTTCTTAACCGGCAGGGCTGTTTGGAGTGTGTGCCTCTTCTTGTATTTAGGGAAAAGATTACTCATGACTATTTTCTTCCATAGAATATAAAGAACCTCAAATTACTACTTGCATCCCCCACCCCCTTCTCACCCGCCCTCCTGCGTTTCCGTGTATCCTCTGTAGAAACTTCAGCATTTTACTCTCATTTCCCCTCCCGAGTGGGATTCAGTTCTGTATTTGCTTTGGCACTTGCGCTTCTAATAAGCTCCCCTGTCCTTTTTCCTGGCTCTGTGGCCCTCTCACCCCAGGCGCTTTCTTAGGCCACGCTTGACAATTGTCCCCTCACGGCTGGCCTTGTGTGAAGGAGAGGAAGGGAAAAGTCCCTAATGACAAACCATTATGCTGTTCTTGTTCGAAGATGACTGACACCATGGAAAATAATAGGAAGTAAACTTTAAGGTTTTGTACCAGTTCAACAGTTGAAATTTTGCTGAGCCATCCTCACACTCCCACCTCACCATGATTCCAGATTCATCTTTTCAAGGTCATTGGAAACGGTTGGGGCACCCCCTGTATCCAATGACCATTTTTAATAGGCATTGCTTCTTGGCCCAGTTAAGAGTCTTAAAGCAGAACCTTGAATTCTTTAGCGGCCATTTTATTCTAAAGATCATAAAGCAGTAACATACTACACATTATTATTTTATAATGCCACTTGTTTCTTTCTATGTAAAAAAATTATACAACTTAAAAACAGAACAACTCAACAACCCCATCTAGGTGCTCATCTCTATTATTCCAATGCTTGTAGTTTTTTATTGATGCCCTACACAGTGGACCAGTTTTGAAGGTACTTCCACAAAGTTCAAGTAAGCTACCATTCTTCAAAACTAGACTTTGCAAAGGAGCTGCCTGGAAGACAGAGCCAAAGTCATGCCTACAGGCTTTGGACCTTCTCCAGGGGATTCGAGCTCTTCGTTCCCCGGGGATGCTGAGCAGCCCATCAAGTAGACCAGACAGGTCTTTGTCTTGCCTTATTTAAGGTTGAAAGATGATTCTTTCAGGATCAAACTGAGGGACACTCTTATAGCACACTCATGGAGTCTCCTTAGCAAGTTTAGGTAACTGCGTAGAGAGACTGAGGTTCTTCTTAGCAAACACTGATTCACTGATTCCGTTGTATAGAATTATTTACACAGTACAATTTTAGAGAATGAAGCTCTGTTGAGCATCTAGCTGTTTCTAACCCATCTGTTCTCAACGATCTTGGTCTCAGGACCCCTTTCAAATCTTAAAAATTATTGAAGACCTCAAAAGCTTTGCTCATATGGGTTTTAGCTATCTATAGTTACCAGATTGGAAATTAAAACTGAGAATTTTAAAAATATTTGTAACCTTACTAAAAAATAATAAGCTAAGTATATATTAACGTAAATATCTATTTATAAATATACTAGAGGCCCGGTGCACAAAAATTTGTGCACTCGGGGGGTGGGGGGTCCCTCAGCCCGGCCTGTGCCCTCTCACAGTCTGGGACCCCTCCCGAGATAACAACCTGCTGGCTTAGGCCTCTTTCCGGGTGGCAGAGGGCAGGCCCAATCCCTAGGTGCAGCCCCTGGTCGGGCTCAGAGCAGGGCCGATTGGGGAGTTGGGGCACCGCCCCCTGTCATGCACAGAGCAGGGCGATCGGGAGGTTGTGATTCCACCCTCAGTCACGCTCAGGGTAGGGCCGATTGGGAGGTTGGGGCACCGCCCCCCATCACACTCAAGGCAGAGTCGATGGGGAGGTTGTGGTGCCACCCCCTGTCATGCACAGAGCAGGGCTGATCAGGGGGTTGGGAAGCTCCCCCCTGTCACGCACAGAGCAGGGCCCATCAGGGGGTTGGGAAGCTCTCCCCTATCACTCACAGAGTAGGGCCGATAGGTGAGTTGGCGCACCGCCCCCTGTCACACACAGAGCAGGGCGGATCAGGGGGTTGGGGCGCCGCCCTCTATCACCCACAGAGCAGGCCCGATCAGGGGGTTGGGACGCTGCCACTGTCACACTCAGGGCAGGGCCGATGGGGAGGTTATGGCTCTACCTCATCACACACAGAGCAGGGCCCGTGGGGGGAGGGGGGGTTGGGGCGCCACCCTCTATCACCCACAGAGCAGGGCCGATCAGGGGGTTGGGGCGCCGCCACTGTCACACTCAGGGCAGGGCCGTTGGGGAGGTTATGGCTCTACCCTGTCACACACAGCGAAGGGCCCATGGGGTGAGGGGGTTGGGGCGCTGCACCCTGTCACACACACAGCCGCAGGGTGATCAGGGGGTTGGGGAGCTCCCCCCTATCAGGCACAGAGCAGGGCCGATCAGGGGGTTGGGGCCCCTTCACCTGTCACGAACAGAGCAGGGAGGATGTGGCCCCGCCCCCTGTCACACACAGAACCGCAGGGCGATCAGGGGGTTTGGGCTCTGACCCCTGTCACGCTGATCCCAGTGCCGGGAGGCCTTGCAGCTCCGCTGATCCTGGTGCTGGGAGGCATATTACCCTTTTACTATATAGAATAGAGGCCTGTTGCATGGGTGGGGCTGGCTGGTTTGCCCTGAAGGGTGTCCTGGATCAGGGTGGGGGTCCCCACTGGGGTGCCTGGCCAGCCTGGATGAGGGGATGATGGCTGTTTGCAGCTGTTCACACACCCTTCAGGGTGGGGGTCCCCACTGGGGTGCCTGGCCAGTCTGGGTGAGGGGCTGAGGGCTGTTTTCAGGCTGGGACTAAAGCTCCCAACTGCTCCTTTTTTTCTTTTTTTTCTTTTCTTATTCTGGGCCAGCTTTAGCTCTGAGGCTCCAGCTCTTGGGCCTCCGCTCCTGAAAGCAGGTATCTGGTTTGTTTCGGTTCTACAATCGAAACTCTGTATCAACTCCAGGTCTGAGATCCCAGCCGGCTGAAAGCTGGTTTCTGGGGTTTTGTTTAGCTTCTATATTTGTTACAATGTTTGAAACTGCAGGCTCAGAGGCCGGCAAGGCAGGCGGGGAACGTTGCAGTCCTCCGTCACTGAAGCAAGCAAGCCTCATGTTAGTTTCAAGCTGCCTGGCTGCCGGGCGCCATCTTGGCTGGCAGTTAATTTGCATATCTCGCTGATTAGCCAATGGGAAGGGTAGCGGTCGTATGCCAATTACCATATTTCTCTTTTATTAGATAGGATTTTCCAAAACAAAATAAACTAGTGAGAAGAGTGGCATTGTTTCACATTTTTGCAAGTCTCTTTAATGTCCATCCTCATTGGAGATGGCTGGATTCTCATCTCTGTTGCAATTCCACAACTTGTGTAGCCTCTAGAAAATTCCACTGTACATTCATGAAAGAATGAGAGTGAAAAAGGCAAATAACCTCTTAATATTGTTATGAAATGAGTTTTTACTTCATAGACCCCTGAAAAGGTTTTGGGAACCCTGAGGGGTCCCCAGATCATGCTTTGAGAACCACTATTCTAAACCACTTAAGTGATGTCAAAGATTTCTCACAACAGCAAAATAAAATTAAAAGGTAGATTCCCAGTCAGGCTTCCTGACAGAGATAGGCTCTGAGTTGCAGCCCTCCCTTTGACCCACTTCTGGTCCTACTCCGAGTCCAAGTAGCTCTCCCTCTCCACCCCCCACCCCAGGAAGTTCTAAGCACAGCAAGTAGACTAAAAAGGCAAAAGACCTTTTCTCCTTACCTTGCCCTCTCATCCCCAGAGGCTGGCCTGATGGTTTCCCAGAGGCTGAGCAAATACTCTTCCAGGAAGAAATTTTAGGGAACACTTCATTATTTGGCAGCTCTGGGAGGTCAAGCTCAGCTCTGGAACATTCCCACTTCAAAAGGACGCAGGGTCGCAATCAGATCAGCTCTGATTTTAAGGTCCCCTTCGAAGTGTGTTGGCATGGGTCATGACTCTGAGCCCCCCTGAGTACCTCAGGCCACCATAGAGCTGCACCTTCCTGGCAATCCTGGAATCCAGACAGACCCTGGAGTAGGGCAAGGAAGGGTGGGGCTCTAAGACCAATGGTCCCTTAAAGACAAAAAAAAAAGGATGTTTTGTTCAATTTGCCTCTACATATAAAGTTCATTTGATATCACACTTTGGCACTTATGAAGCTTGGGTTTTAACCTGGGATTCAGAGTTGAACATGAGGGCTCTTCAGACATGGGGACCTAATGTTGTTAACCATTCAGCAATCTCTCCCCTTTAGTCCAGCTGTCTAACTGACAAGACCCTTTTTTTTTCTGTCTCTTTCTTTCTGCCTTGCTCTCTCTCCAACAGGCTTGCAGCCAGTTTACTGGAGCAGGGATGACGTAGCCCAGTGGCTCAAGTGGGCTGAAAATGAGTTTTCTTTAAGGCCAATTGACAGCAACACGTTTGAAATGAATGGCAAAGCTCTCCTGCTGCTGACCAAAGAGGACTTTCGCTATCGATCTCCTCATTCAGGTGAGAGTCTGGACTCTGGACACGTGCTCAGCTTGGCAAATCTGTTGATCAGTGGTCGGTCTTTACCACTGCTCATCCTGCCCCCAAAAATCTCTGCTGTAGGTCACCATGGGCGCAAGGACAGTGGCCCAACTTAGTGGAGGAAAGATCCTGCTGACATATGCCAGTATGAGGGGAGAAGAGGAAGAGCTTTCAGATCAAGGGGAAACTTTTAAGGTTCAGAGAAGTAACCCAGTTGGGACTGACAGTCACTGGATTTTAAGGGATCTAGTTTGCCACCACATAAGGAAGAAAATGCATCCCAGCTCTTTCTCTCCACCTTACTCCTGAGTCTGAAGACTTAAGAGAGGTGCTTGAGAGCAAGTGTAGGTTGTGAACTGCTCAGTTAACAACAAATACAGGCTTGAGTAAGGGGAAGGATCCCTGCTGAGATAGCTAGACTAGGAAGTCAAGAAAAAATGAGAGAACAGGAGATAAGGAATGGGCAAGGTAGAGATCCTACTAGCCAAGGCAAGTTTAGAAATGAACTCAGGGGCCTCAGATGATGTCCTGAATTTTTTGAAGTAATGCCTCTGGCAGCCTGTAGAAATCCTGAACAATACAACTGGAAGTTTCCTGGTTAGGCTCATCTAACTAGGAAGATTTGTCCAAATGAGGGCTCCTAAGACCACAGAGGAAGATTTTGTTCAGTAAGGGGTGTTTGTACCTGCAAAGTATGTTAATGATGTAGATAAGACTTCAAATATACTTTCTAATTTCATGTCTTCAATATGATAGATATGTAGAAGGTAGCTATTTGGGAACTCCATATGTCAAAGGAGAGCTTCGGTCTCGGGTTTATGCCTCTTGAGGGCTTGTTATTCAGGTACCAACAGGCCATCCTTCTATTGAGTCTCCTTGACTTAACTTGTCTGGCAGAGACCCTTCTGTCCTTGACCAAGGGCAAAGATTCTGCGTAAGGTCTTGGCATAGTCTCCAGCTCTGTTCAACCCTTATTTACTCCTGGAGGTCTGCCAGCAGTTAATACACTAACCGTCATGAGGAAATGTCCCCCATACCAGGGGGTGAGATAAGGACAGAGAACAGGATCTCCCCTGCTTTTTCCAATTTCAACAGATTGTTTATACAAGAAAATGTCAAAGGGGAAGTGTCTCCCAGAAGTATATGTGGTATTGAAACTCGAAGGCTTATATCTTGGAAAAACGAATCATTTTTTAAGGTTTTATAAGGGACACAAACATACCTGAAATACTTTGTCACAAATCACTGATTTTTATCATGGATTTTTGGTTTCAGAATAAGAAAACTATAAAACAGCCATATAAATAAAACTAACTTAAAAGAAACCTAAGTAGTCTCTTTTCATTGAATGCAGAAATACTTCCCTCCTCTGTTCCAGAGGAAACTCCGATATTATGCTTAAAGAGCCAAAGCTACCTACCTGGAGGAAAAGCACTCTAACTCTGTCATGTTCCGGAGAAACCATTTACATAAGACAAAGGAAAACACAGTGATGTGTTTTGACTTGATTTGACTTAGACCTCGGGCGAGCTTTCCTTCCTGAGCCTTTGCAGTTTCCGCCCTCATCCTATCTCAGGTGCTCCTTTTTGTTGCTGATTTATTTTTCTCTCCAGTGACCTCTCAACTTTACTGATGAAACTAGGTTATCTCTGTTGAAAGCTGGAGGCAAAGATGTGCAAAGCCTGTCGGTAGTTCCTTGTTATATTGTCAGATCTTTGCTGGCATGGGCCATATGGAAGACAGACAGCATCCCGCTGTCCAGGTAGATAGGCAGGATTGCATTGAACCTAAAGGCAAAGGATGCTGGAGAAGGGAGAGCATATGGTAGGATGGGTCTCCTAAAAGCATGAATGGAGTTGTTTCACATGAAGTGTGGGTGGAATTGAGTGGCCAGGGGAGAAGGAGAACATTCTGGGCAATTAGAGCAGCATTAGATTAATATATTTGGGTGACAGTGAGAAAGCCCACCTGATGAATGGAAAAGGCAGGAGACAGGAAGGCCAGCTAAGGCGGATTCACTAGTTCGGACATGAGGTGTTATAGACACAGTTGGGTGGGGGCAGGAGAAATTCATTGCATGAATGTTCCCTGAATAGTCCTGTGCCACTGGTACAGAAGTTCAGGCTAAGGGAGTTGAAGGTTAGGAGAGGTGATTTCTAGCTGGATGATCAGATGAAGCTCAAGGGTATGACAATGGAGATGGACTTTGGAAGGTTCACGGGGTGGGGGGGGGGGAAAGGGAGGTAAGGAAAGGCTAAGGAGGAGGTGTAGACCAGTTTGTGTGGAGAAGAAGTTCAGAGATAAGGCCACATAAGCTGGATCCTCTGTGTGAAGCACTGTCCATCATCCTCATTACCCCTCCCTCACTGGTCTTATTGCCTCTTCATATTTTTAAGTTCAGCTACTTGCTCTAGGAAAGCTTTCTCTTCCATCCCTGCTTCCCTGATTCCAAACTTCCTTTCCTCCACCTCTCTCCAGGTCGGTCTGGGTTAGGTACTCTTCCTCTTTTATCCCAGAGCTTTCCCTAATTCTGCCATAGCCTCTAATGCACATGCAGATGCGCACACACACACACACACACACACACACACTGATATATGTGATTGTTTGCTATGCTACATGCCTCTCCTATAGTGGAAAGTTCAGTTTGGGCAGGGGTTGTGTCCTATTAAGCTGCCATGTCTCCAGCATCTAGCATAGTGCATGGCATCCAGTTGGTACTCAATAAATCTTGGTTGAATTGTTACCCAACACAAGAGGACCTTAAAGCCCAGGTTAAGATGTTTGGATTTTATTTGGGGGGTAATAGGAAACCACTGAAAGGTTTTTAAAGCAGGAAAGCTAGAATGATACTGCTGTAGTCTGAGCCACTGAAGTCCAGAACCAGGTCAATGAGATCAGAAACAGTACTTCAGGTGCAGAGTAGTTGGCTAAAACAGCAACGGGTCTGGAAGCAGCAGTGAGTTCATTCTGGCCAAGAAATGCCAAGGCATCCAGGAAGACATGGCCTGTTCTGTAGCTGGAAATGTGAGGTAAGAGCCAGACCAGAGCTGGGAATAATAGACATGAGCATCATGCCCAGTACGTTGAGCTGGGACTAGAGATAAATTTATACTACAGGTAATTTAATTAACCAAAAAGGTATCAACCAGAAAGCCATGGGAAGAATTTCAAGGTGATACCTGCCAGCAGGGGCTACAAGAAAACACCACAGAAGGGAGGAGTATTGTCAGAGGGTTTGGAAGACACAGCTAAGGAGCTGAGAAGGCCTTCTCATGTAGGCACTATACACCTACGTGTATTATGCGTAGGTAGAGACAAGGCATAGATTTTAAAAATCTTTTTATTTCTCAGGTGTAGCATTTGCCACAACTACTTCCCACAAGGGCTTCCTGCTTTCTCATCCATGTAGTTAAGTGTCCTGAGGTCGGGTTCTCCACGTGGCTCTTGCAGAGATCACATCACCTCATTTGCCCTTATTTTCCTCATCCATGAAATGGAATTTCCACCCTGTGGCTCCTAATCTCCCTTCAACTCCTAACAGTTCCGTCCAGTTTCAGCCACTGAAACTGTTGAGCTTCTAGTAGACAGTACAGCTTCCCACTCTACAGGCAGCGAGTACAGGCTTTGATCTCCTTCGGCTTACACGCCTTGTACAACTTACACTTCAGCCAGTTTTGTCCTCTTTCCTTGAATCTTTCCTGCTGCCTGAGAAGACCCAGCGGCAGCATCTCACTGGTCATGGGGCTGCTGGACCAAGGAGCATCTGGTAGCCCTGTCCCCATGAATGGATGTTTACGGCTTCCTCCCGGCCATGTTTCCTGCTGGGCCTCACCCAGTGTTATGCTCTCTGAATATGGAAATAACATCCCTAATACAGCTCTTGTCAAATGTAGAGTGGAAATAATGAAACTCAATGAATTATAATTACCTGAAATATTAATGCTATTTATCTTAGGTCCACATATGGTAGCCTCTCTGAACTCTACTTTTTGAAAAGTATATTTTCATTGATTTCAGAGAGGAAGGGAGAGGGAGAGAGAGAGAGAAACAAAAATGATGAGAGACAATCATTGAACGGCTTCCTCCTGCACACCCCCTAGTGGGGATTGAGCAACCCGGGCATGTGCCCTGACTGGGAATTGAACCATGACCTCCTGGTTCATAGGTCAACAGTCAACCACTGAGCCAGACTGAACTCTACCTTTTTTAATCAGTTTAACATACTGCACTTATCCACTTCAAGGACAAGGGTCCTCCATTTTCAACCCTTAGACTAAAGCAGGGAACTATATCAGCTCTAAACAGGAGATTTCAAAAGGTGAAGATAAATGGGATATTCTCTTTGGAATATTCTCCCAATTAGAAGATAGAACAAGATGATAAATTTGTTACATTTGCAGAGCTGAAGAATAAACATAGGAAATCTCTATTTTATAAAACCTCACATGGACAGGATAATTGTGCCTAGTCCTTAAGCTACTAGATACCATGTGGTGTGGTCTGGGATGATTTGAATTGAAAGGAGTATTTCATTATTTGACCAATTTGAGACTCTTGAGAAAACATTTTAATAAGAAGGAACAGACAGTTAACATTGATTTAACTCTAAGACATTCAGGTGGAATGGATTTAGGTACATTATTTTTATGAAAAAAATGCAAGTTATTTTAATTCATCCTAGACTTTCTATCAATGCTTAAAAAAAGAAAAGGAAAATAAAAAATACTTTCAAAGTTCCTTCAATTCAATTGAACAATAACTGTAGCGGAGATTTACTAAGAAAATTCCTTTTGGTGTACTAGAGTGTGATGCTGCAAGTGATTGCTCCCCTTCCAACCCACCAGAACCTTTGTCTTTGGTAACATTCTCTGCTTGTGACCTTTAAATACAGTTAGATTTCTTTCAAGGTTAAACTAAAAATACTGGTCTTATCTAAATATAGTTCCTTGGACCAACCTGTTAGGTTGAATGGCTGT